TGCAGCAGCGGCGCTGCCTGCTGAAAGAGCATGTACGCGCGGCCTTGGCACTTGGTCAGACTCGAGACCTCTTTCTTAGCCACGGGTTTTGGGCACGTCTCTGGGCACTAATCCTGATGATGAATGAAACCCCTAGCATATCGGAATATCGGCATATCGTGTCCGCCCAAGCTTCAACTGCAGGGTGCTTGCCTAGGTCCTCCAGTAGAGATGGTTGAATAAGGGTACCAACTTTTTTCTGTAGTCTATTTTAGTAGGGGAACCCTCCCCCCGCAAAAGTTGGTCAAATGGCACCTAGCTGGGGGACGTAGTTGGCATCCACAACAGTGAGCAGTGACACTCGCTCGCGTCTGGTGGCTGTTTGCGAGCGATTCTTGGTGCCGGAACGGCCACGGAGTGGCTGGACAGCCGTGAAGGTGCCAGGGACAAAACTCTGATGTGGCCCCTTTGAAGGGGTCAACCACCCCAAACAAGTGCTTTGACTGGAGTGGGTGTCTTTATCAACGAGGGTCGGTGAAAGCAAACCAACATTGAACCAGACCATGTGCAGGGGTCCCAGCTTCAAAACTGGATTTATGGTCTAGCCATCAATTTCGGAGTCCCTATTCAAGTTCATCGCCAAATGTCGCTCTGAGATCGTTCAGCTTGAGAAGTGGGACAGCTGGACTCACCAGGCTCGTGTCTGTTCACATCTTTTTGGGGCCTTCGCATTAGGTCCGCGGCGGCTGTAAGGGCTCTGTCTTCGGGCGTAGAGGACCCGGCGCCCAAAGCTCCTCACGGCGAAGGCGAAGCGGGCGAATCGAATCGCGGCGAGTCGGGCGACATGCACGGGAGAAAAGGTGATCCATGCCTGAAGAAGCGGATCAGCGGCTTCGGCGTGTTCTGCTGCGTGAGCGTCTCCTCATCAGCGTCGGCTCGCCTTTTGTGGAGACGCCAAACGGGCGCGGGTTCAGACCAGCCACCCCCAAAACCGCCGATCTCTGGTGTGGAGTACACATGATCCGCCCTCGAAACCCGGGAGCTGCCTGCCGCAGGTCTGGGGGTTCAAAACTGAGAGGTATTAGGTTTAGACGAAGGGGCGATTCTGCTACAGCGGTAGACTTGAGATGCGATGATGGCAACGAGGATGGAGGAGGCAGCATAGATGTCGGTGTGGTCAGTGGTAGGGACGCTGTAGAAGCGTTGAGCGTTGTCATGTCAGGACGCTGTGGTGGAAAAGGAGACATCCTGGCACCAGAAAAGGAGGAGGAGGAGGAGGTGGAGGCGGAGGAACCGAAGAAAAGTTGCCAACGTGCCAGGATGATCCTTGCACAAAATCCGCACATTGATCACATTGAGAACGACGAGATGAAGGTGACCGACGATGGCATAACGAGAACGTTCCCGACTGTTGAAGACGAACACTAGCGGGACCAAGACTCTCGCCGGAGAATCTCGCAACGCAAACAGAGTGTCCACTGAATCACACAAGCCGACATCTGCCAGATCAGTAAATCGCAAGGAATCAAACCTCGCTCAACTTACACAAGCAATCAGACGGATCAAGGCAGCCTGAGAAGAAACTGTTCCAAGTTGAAGGGGATGACGACGAAAAGGAAGGTAAAGGAGTAGTCAACATTGCACAAGTCAATCTCATGTCATGTCGAATCAAGATCAAGTAAAAGTGACAACATGCAAGCAAGCAATGCAAGGCAGTGCGGGCAGCACAAGATGGTGTCCAGCCCAACCTGAAGGTATCCTGCAGCAAACTGAGAATAACAAATCGAGTTCGGAAGTTTCGCGGTGATCTCGCGTGAGAGAAGCTTGAGTGTTAAGTCACTGCGGCTTTCCTCTAGATGAGAAAGCGTTACCAAATCCAACAAGAAGCAAGCGCACCCACGAAAAACAAAGGGCCAAAAAGACTTTACATCACTGAAGCAGGTAGCTGGAGCGTCCCTCAACGCTTCCGGCCAAACTTAGATGGCTGCCACATCCCCTGCTGTGAACCATGATGCCAGCTTAGATCTGGAACTCGGCACCCACACTCACACACGCACACACGCACAACCTTAAGCCCCCCAAAAGGCGGACTGATCCAACTCGGCTGGCTAAAGTTCGGCTCGCAGAGCCAGATGTCCAGAGTCACTCTACTGTTCTTAACCAAGAAGCAAGCTGCCATGGAGGGACGGGACCAAAGGGACTTTCTATCACAGGTACGTCACGGTGCGCTGATATCCGCATTTCCTGTGGCCTCTTTGTTGGACCATCGCGCACAGTGAATGCATGAATGCATGGTCCATGCGTCTAGTGCCTCCACACAGACACACATCACATCACACACATGAAACACAATGCTCGGAAGAGATGGGAGTGCCTTTTGGGGTTGGTTTACAGTAAACAAGTTCCCTCCCCTATTTGGAGACAAACCCAGAGTTACGCCAACGGAACTTGTCCAATTCTCCTCCAGCAGGCGTCGAAAGCGCACGGCATCCAGTTCCTCGCGAAGTCCATCGCAGTTGGCCTGGCAGCACCAAACCAATTAATCCGGTGGATGGACGAAATCCTGCAACACCTAACAAACCATGGAATGTATGATTCCGTGCATACCACGTTGATCATCATCATTAAGTTCAAATTGAATCCCAACAGCGGAACCATTGCAAGGCCCATTTACAAAAGTGTCGTCCAAGCAAACAAACGAAGGGAGGCACGGGTTCAAGCGTCTTGACCTGAGGACAAAAATGAACGAAAGGTAGAGAAGTCGTCCGAACAGCCCGTTCTTCCACAGGAACTTAGCGTCGGCTTCAAACCCATTGGGGTTGGGTTGGCCTTTCCTCCCTCCCAGGTTCCACTCATGAACCCCTTCCAGAAAAGAACGCCAGGTTGATGCAGAGCCAATGGCCCTGTGAGAATTCCAGGAAAGCGCCTCGGATCCCGAGAAGACCCGCGTGAGTCCGGAACCTCTCAACGACTTCCCATGAGAAGCAACTCGGACGAAAGAGTTAAAGGTCACTTGCCTGGAATTCGGACCCCGGCAAAAATACGACATGCTTTGCCTGGAATTCGTGGAAAACAAAGGGGACCCCAAAAAAACAAACTCGAAAAGGGGAGCTAATTCTGGGGAAGGGCTGAGGCTCATTGAGAAGCGACTTTGAGATTTGCAAGGAGCAGTACTGGAGGAACAATGCTGAAAGACAGAGGATTGGGAACAACTTTCAGAATTTCGAGAAATGATTGGATGCCCAGGAACAGCTCAGGGGGTGGGTTGGGGGTCCTTGTTTCCACGCTGGGATGACCCCTACAGCTTGCTTACCAAAAAACATGCTGGCCAAACAATGCTCAACATGCTCATGTTGGGAGCTTTGACAAGTCTCGATCCGCGCATGAGCCCACTCCGAAGTCGCCTTTTTCTACCCAGCTTCCTCTAAGGCGGTCCGTGCCACATCGTCCACAGCCTCCCAGTACTGGGGCGCATGGCTGGTCATGGCACGGCAATGATTCGCCTTGTCCAGGATCAGTGCCTTTACCTGGACGGGGAAAGCAAGGCAAGGGACAAAGAATAAGGATCTCCCGCCAAAACACAAGGTCCCAAACAATCAGTAGGCGCCTTATCCACCAGAATGGCTCTTAGAGAACTGTTCTAAGAAGCCCCTTATCGAAGGTTCTAACCGTGTTTGGCTTGCCTTGGCGTTCGGTGAACTTTGGGATTCCCTGCAGCCAAATTGTTAAAATTACTTCGCTTCGAGCATCCCCACCCTCCACACTCACGAGCTTACGACCGCCGTTACAAGAAATTCCTCCGCATCCTAGAGACCCCGACTCCAAATTCCAATCGCCCCCTTCCCTTCCCATTGGCCACTTTCACTTGTCTGCGAGCCGACCTCGAGAACTCAAACATCGGTTCCGTTAACAAAAGCCAAGCCCCTTCCAAAAAGAAGCCCGACGGGGGATTAAACAAAGTTGCCTACTTACGACCCAAAGCAACACAAATCATCATCCTTTCCGAGCCTCAGGGTACACTCAAAACACGAAGCTCCAACATGAAATGTAAACCAACTGCGCGCCGGGCGGGACGATAAGCAAAACCAGACTGGCGAGCCGGGATACTGGCAGGATCCACTGGCGAATACTGGCGAGCCGGCTCTGGTGGGATACTCGGCGGGATTCACTGGCAAGCTACTCTGGGCGGATACTTGGCAGGGATCCACTGGCGAGCTACTCTGGGATACTCAGCGGGATACTCGGCGGGATCCGCTGGCGGGCTGCTCTGGTGGGATACTCGGCAGATCCACTGGCTGGCGGGATACTCGGCGGGATCCGCCGGCAAGCTACTCTGCGATACTCAGCGGGATACTCGGCGGGATCCACTAACAAGCCGCTCTGGCGGGATACTGGGCGGGATCCACTGGCCAGCTGCTCTGGCGGGATACTCGGCGGGATCCACTGGCGAGCCGCTCTGGCGGGATACTCGGCGGGATCCACTGGCGAGCCGCTCTGGCGGGATACTCGGCGGGATCCATTGGCGAGCCGCTCTGGCGGGATACTCGGCGGGATCCACTGGCGAGCAGCTCCGGATACTGGGCGGGATCCACTGGCGAGCTGCTCTGGCGGGATACTCGGAGGGATCCAGTGGCGAGCTGCTCTGGCGGGATACCGGGTGGGGGCGTGGTGTAGAAGCATCGCAAACGCGGATTCCAACATAAAATCTAACAACCCCTTCCTGTCGGGTGGGGAACAAAAAAAACAGCAAATACCTTTGTGTCCCCCAAACTGTAGAAAAAGAACAATAAAACAAGTACATGTCGATTCCCTGAATCAAAACTTTAAAAAAGAACAGTAAAACAACCACCTTTTGCTTCCCTGAATCCAAACTTAGAAAAGAACCGTAAAACAAGCACCTTTCGATTCCCTGAAGCTAAAAAGAAAACCTGTCGCTGAAGCCAAACAAAAAAAACGCAATGTCGCCCACGAGACAAAGCCCAACCCGCCCGGAAAGTTCTAACCATGTTTGGCGGACGTGGGTGCGGCTGGTGGGTGCTTTGGTTTTCCACCAGTTGGATAACGATGAAGAAACAAAAATCCGTCGGAGCCCGTCCTGGCCCTCCTGAGTCAGCTCTTCCAGCCACGACACCAAGCGCCGCGACCGCTCCAGCGGCACCACCTGCCGAGTGGAGCTAAGAGGAGCTAGGAGTGGGGGGTTGATGTTGGGCAGGGGGTTGATGTGGGCAAAACCAAAACAGTTGCCTCACTTCCCGGGATCGCAAACCAATTGTGAGAATGGGGAACCACTTACAGATAAAACCCACAGGATGACTCGCTTTGGGCCAAAAGGTGGTGGCCCGTGGCGCGCCAATTTTAAGAATCGCTTCGCTTCTTTGGGTACGGCGGACTTTGCTTCTGCGGGGGCAAGAAGGGGGGGGCTGAAGACCTTGTTGGCAGCCTCCCGGAAAGGAGGGAGAACGGGGGGAAAGGATCTCAACAGGGAAAGGGGGGAAAGATCTTAGGGAGCAAAAGGGATTCCCCCAAGTGTTCCTCAATCTTCCCCAACTGTCGGCCAACCATCCACTGCCGCGCTCCCATTTGGGGGTGCTCAAGATAGGAATCGTTCCCGGAAAATTTGGATGTTGGTGTTCCTTCTGGCTTCCCTTCAAATACCAGCCAAAAGAGGGTGCGAAATCCATGTTGAGAACCATATTAGATGAATTGTGGACACCAGAATTTTTAGGGGATTTTGAGAGCCCTCAATGTTGAGAAACACTCCTATCGTGGTATTAACAAGACAAAAACAGTGTGTGTGGGGTTGTGGTTGTCAACATTGAACTATAGTGATGGTGTGCGTAAAGTGTATGTATACACAAAGATAGATATATATATATAGATAGATAGATAGATAGATAGATAGATAGATAGATAGATAGATAGATAGATAGATAGATAGATAGATAGATAGATAGATAGATAGATAGATAGATAGATAGATAGATAGATAGATAGATAGATAGATAGATAGATAGATAGATAGATAGATAGATAGATAGATAGATAGATAGATAGATAGATAGATAGATAGATAGATAGATAGATAGATAGATAGATAGATAGATAGATAGATAGATAGATAGATAGATAGATAGATAGATAGATAGATAGATAGATAGATAGATAGATAGATAGATAGATAGATAGATAGATAGATAGATAGATAGATAGATAGATAGATAGATAGATAGATAGATAGATAGATAGATAGATAGATAGATAGATAGATAGATAGATAGATAGATAGATAGATAGATAGATAGATAGATAGATAGATAGATAGATAGATAGATAGATAGATAGATAGATAGATAGATAGATAGATAGATAGATAGATAGATAGATTAGATTAGATTAGATTAGATTAGATAGATAGATAGATAGATTAGATTAGATTACATTAGATTATATTAGATTATATTAGATTAGATTAGCTTAGATTGGGTTAGATTAGATTAGATTAGATTAGATTAGATAGATTAGATAGATTCGATAGATTAGATTAGATTAGATTAGATTAGATTAGATAGATAGATAGATAGATAGATAGATATATAGATTAGATAGATAGATAGATAGATAGACAGACAGATAGATAAATAGATAGATAGACAGATAGACAGATAGACAGATAGACAGATAGACAGATAGACAGATAGACAGATAGACAGATAGACAGATAGACAGATAGACAGATAGACAGATAGACAGATAGACAGACAGATAGACAGACAGACAGACAGACTAGATAGATAGATACATGAATGGATAGATAGATAGATGGATAGATAGACAGATAGATAGACAGACAGACAGATAGATAGCTCCATAGATAGATAGACAGATGGACAGATGGACAGATAGACAGATAGACAGATAGACAGATAGACAGATAGATAGACAGACAGACAGACAGACAGATAGACAGACAGACAAACAGACAGATAGATAGATAGATTGATAGATTGATAGATTGATAGATTGATAGATTAGATAGATTAGATAGATTAGATAGATAGATAGATAGATAGATAGATAGATAGATAGATAGATAGATAGATAGATAGATAGATTGATAGATAGATAGATAGATTAGATTAGATTAGATTAGATTAGATTAGATAGATAGATAGATTAGATTAGGTTACATTAGATTATATTAGATTAGATTAGATTAGATTAGCTTAGATTGGATTAGATTAGATTAGATTAGATTAGATAGATTAGATAGATTCGATAGATTAGATTAGATTAGATTAGATTAGATAGATTAGATTACATAGATCAGATTGGATAGATTAGATAGATAGAAAGGTAGATAGATAGATAGCTAGCTAGCTAGCTAGGATAGATAGATAAATAGATAGATAGATTAGACTAGATTAGATTAGATTAGATTAGATTAGATCAGATCAGATCAGATTAGATTAGATTAGATTAGATTAGATTAGATTAGATTAGATAGAATAGAATAGATTAGAT